CCTCCCGCTGTTGCCCCCCCCCAGCCACTGGCGTTTTGGACAGAGAAGACCCCCAATTCACAGACGGGGGTTGGACTGGTCCTCTCAGTAAGGACGCTGCCATTGGCACCACTATGCTTTAGCAATAAATTATTTCATTGGAGCTTGGAGGGTTGAGTGTCTGCAAAAGAAGTTCCTTTTGGAAAAATTTAGCTTATTTTTTTTTCTCCCACCCACCCATCCCTTCAACCTTTCACCCAGCCATCTACTCTTTCATACATCTATTCACACTTTCAGGCAGACACTCATCCATCCATTCTTTCACTTATCTTCCATCCCTCCATCCACTCACCCTTTCATCCCTCCATTCATTTACTACTCATTCTCCCATCCACTTGCCCTTCTTCTCGTCCATACATTCACCCTTCCTTTCATTCGAGAAATATTCAGCAGGCATTTCTTGAGCACATGCTATATGACATGCATCATGCTGCAGAGAGGATCCCGATGAACCAAATACACCTGCCAAGGTCCTTGAGCTGATGGAGCCTACAGTCAAGCGGGAGGAGACTGTGTTCAAGGAGACGATTTCACGTGGTCATCGTCACTCTGAAGACAAAGCTCGGGCTGTGATGGAGAGGGAGAGGCCTCGGGACAGGAGGGCGCCTTCCGGGGGAGCCTGGACTCAGAGGGACCAGGGAGGAAGCTGTAGGAGGGTAGTTAGAGGAAAGGAGGGCCTGGGGAGAGATGTCAAAGGCAGGCTGGCCAGCAGCATGTGGCAAATGATTAGACTGGGAGAGGCTAAGGAGGAGGAGGGGATAAACCTGCCTCCCCGAATTTGACCTTGGATATCTTACAGCATCCACCCTGCTTTGAGATGGGGAGAATCAGAGGCCGGATGGGGGAAGAAACTGCTCTGAGACGCCCTGATTCTCTCCCTGCTCAGGAGAGGAAAGGAGATTAGCAGACTGATGATCATTTCCTGGCTGAAAGGAAGTGTGTATAATCCTTTCCAGAAGGAGGTATTCCCTAAGGAGAGAGAAGACGCATCAGAAAATCTCCTACTTACAGCCCCTCTGTGTTTATGAGTCCACAAAAGAAGAGGGGCGTCAGCCCCCCTTCAGGGCCCCAGATCAGGCAAGAGGGACTGTCGTAGTCAACACCTGCCCTCCCGTCATCCTGCCCTCGGTGCACTTGGCCAGTCCAGCGTCAACGTCCGGCAGCCCCCTGTCCTCCACCCTTGTCTCTGAGCGAGCAAAGGCAGCGAGACCCAGCGCTGCTCAGACAATGGGAGAATCCCACGTCCGGGCAGAGAGCAGCAAGAACGTGGGCAGTTTCCCTCCCTGTCAATGAGCCCGCTTTAATCTGTCTCCAGAGCCCAGGTTTAGGAAGCTCATTCCCCGACCTCTGAAAGAGGAGGGTGTGGTCATCGGCATTAGATGAGAATCACAGGGCCCAGGGGAGTGGAAGTGACTCACAGGCCACTATGCGGCCGACAGTGTCTGGAACCTGTCCTCTGTCCCCCTCCACCCCAGCCCTGCCCCAAAATGAAACCCTGGCTCAAGGTTAGTGAGACATTTGTGGTGCTGGGGGTGTGGGTTTTTAAATAATTTTTACTGCAGGGCACCTCTGAGCCTTCAGTAAACTCAAGTTGTTACCAGAAGGGGTCCCCTTCCAGGGTCCGAGAGTGAGGTCTAACACTCAGAAATGAATTGTCCAAGGAGACACATGTGCTGACAAAGCAAGAGACTTTATTGGGAAGGGGCGCCCCGGCGGAGAGCAGCAGGGTAAGGGAACCCAGGAGAACGGCTCTGCCACGTGGCTCGCAGTCTCAAGGTTTATGGTGATGGGGTTAGTTTCCAGGTTGTTTCTGGCCAAGCATCTTGCCTGTGCCCATATTTGGGCTGACTCAGGGTCCTTCCTGGTGGTGCACGCATCTCTCCACCAAGATGGACTCTAGCATGAGGATTTGTGGGAGTTTGGCAGGACATATTACCGACTGGCGTCTCCTCCCTCGTTTTGGCCCCTCCTGAATTCTCCCGCAAGCACCGTGTTGTTTACCAGGACTTCCTGTCATGAGACAACTCAACGCAAGCGGTTATTATCGTGCTTAGCCAAGGCAGGCAGTTTCGGTCACTGGTTCCCTAACAAGGTGTGTGGTTTCATCTCCAAGAGGGGCCGCCCAGTAGGCAGCTGGGAAGGACAAATCACTTCCCTTCCCTTGTGTGAAATATTTTTCTTATGAAAAAGGATTGCTTCTAAGGCTATTGCAAGTAAAATTCCTTCCGGATGAGACCTCAGAAACGATAGCAAATGTTTGCAGAGACTTTGTTATGGATATTAAACAAAATTCAGCTCAGTACCTTTTACAGATCTAATTGGCTCTGTTTATCCTGTCGAGCAGATAGAACGGACCTTGAAAGACTTTTCAGAGGGAGAAGGAAGCAGGAACAAGAAAGTTCTGCTGGGCTTCCCTGGTGGCACAGTGGTTGAGAGTCCGCCTGCCGATTCAGGGGACGCGGGTTCGTGCCCCGGTCTGGGAAGATCCCACATGCCACAGAGCGGCTGGGCCCGTGAGCCATGGCCGCTGAGCCTGTGCGTCCGGAGCCTGTGCTCCGCGGCGGGAGAGGCCGCAGCAGTGAGAGGCCCGCGTACGGCAAAAAAAAAAGAAAAAAGAAAAAAAGAAAGTTCTACTAGGCAAAAAAAGCAGGTTGCTTATTGCAAACTTGCTTTTCTTCAGGGGACGGCAGGGGTCTGTCAGGCACATTGCTTAACTAATTCTGATCAGATGATTCCTGACTGATGGTTTAAGATGCCATTTCTGGAAGAGCCAACACTGTCATGGAGTCTCTGGTGACGTGGAGCTTAGCATAAGCAACTCCATTTTGGGCCTGTTGTCTTATTTTTAACACCCAGTTGGAAGTTAATGGGGAAATTTTTACTGCTTTGGTGGAGTCTACAAATGCAAATTATGTTGGGTGTTTGTGAAATGTTTCACATCTACATTGTGAGATGTAGATGTTTCACATCTACATTGTGAAACGTAGATGATATATTTTTTTAACTGAATTGCTATTTTTTTTTAATTTATTTAATTTATTTATTTTTGGCTGCGTTGGGTCTTCGTTGCTGGGTGGGCTTTCTCTAGTTGCGGCGACTACTGAGCCCGCGTGCTGCAACTACTGAAGCCCCCGCGCCTAGAGCCCATGCTCCGCAACAAGAGAAGCCACCGCAATGAGAAGCCCGCGCACCACAGCAAAGAGTAGCCCCCGCTCGCCACAACTAAAGAAAGCCTGTGCGGCTTCCCTGGTGGCACAGTGGTTGGGAGTCCGCCTGCCGATGCAGGGGACACGGGTTCGTGTCCTGGTCTGGGAGGATCCCGCACGCCGCGGAGCGGCTGGGCCCGTGAGCCATGGCCGCTGGGCCTGTGCGTCCGGAGCCTGTGCTCCGCAACGGGAGAGGCCACAACAGTGAGAGGCCCGCGTACCGCAAAAAAAAAAAAGAAAAGAAAAGAAAGCCTGTGCGCAGCAACAAAGACCCAGTGCAGCCAAAAATAATAAATAAACAAATAAATAAATAAATAAAATTTATAGAAGAAGATAATAATAATCCATGGGAATTCCCTGGCAGTCCAGTGGTTAGGAATTGGTGCTTTCACTGTTGAGAGTGCGGGTTCAATCCCTGGTTGGGGAACTAAGATCCCACAAGCCACACGGCACGGCCAAAATAAAAATTAAAATAATACAATAATCCATAGGGGGAAGCATGTTTCATTGCTTACTTATAATTTCCAGGGTCTGTTTAGCCATAGAATTATGCAAATTAAAAGAACAGAGGACTTCCCTGGTGGCGCAGCGGTTAAGAATCCGCCTGCCAATGCAGGGGACACGGGTTCGAGCCCTGGTCCAGGAAGATCCCACATGCGGCGAAGCAACTAAGCCCGTGCGCCACAACGACTGAGCCTGTGCTCTAGAGCACGCAAGCCAAAACTACTGAGCCTGCATACCACAACTACTGAAGCCCGCGCGCCTAGAGCCCGTGCTCCGCAACAGAAGCCACCGCAATGAGAAGCTGTCGCACCGCAATGAAGAGTAGACCCTGCTCGCCGCAACTAGAGAAAGCCTGCGCGCAGCAACCAAGACCCAAGGCAGCCAAAAATAAATAAATATATAAAAAGAACAGAAAACAATGTTAAGTGCTCTGTTTAAAGAATTGATGGAAAATTTCTTTAAGTGTCAAGGCTATTCTTAAAAGAGACATGACTTAGAACAGGAAAAGAAATTCTTTTTTTTTAATTTGAAGTATAGGTGATTTACAATGTTGTGTTAGTTTCAGGTGTGCAGCAAAGTGATTCAGTTATACATATATACATATAGATTCTTTTTCAGATTTTTTTCCCTTATTAGTTATTAAAAGATAATGAATATGGTTCCTTGAGCTATGCAGTAGGTCCTTGTTGTTTATCTCTTTTATATATAGTAGTGTGTATCTGTTAATCCCAAACTCCTAATTTATCCCTCCCTGACTCCTTTCCTCTTTGGTAACCACCTGTTTGTTTTCAATGTCTGTGAGAAGAAATTCTGACTTGAAGTGGATAATTACTGTGGCATTCCCGTGATGATATTTTCAAAAAGATTTCATCCCTTGGAGAATGTGATTCTTTTACACAGATGTTACCAAATACTCTGCCAGCATGAGAGCACATGGAACCATCTTGTGTCATGTTGAGGAAGGGGGTAAAAAGTGGCAACCATGCTCTTGTTTTGTCGGTGGACACCATTTTTAAAGGTCATTGATCAAGAGATGCAACATGGGCTTCCCTGGTGGCGCAGTGGTTGAGAGTCCACCTGCCGATGCAGGGGACACGGGTTCGTGCCCCGGTCCAGGAAGATCCCACATGCCGCGGAGCGGCTGGGCCCGTGAGCCATGGCCGCTGAGCCTGCACATCTGGAGCCTGTGCTCTGCAATGGTAGAGGCCACAACAGTGAAAGGCCTGCGTACCGCAAAAAAAAAAAAAAAAAAAGTAGAATGGAAAAGAGAAAAACAAATATAAAAATGGAATGGAAAACTAAGTTCCACAGTGGAATGGTCTGTCGACAAGGAGACATGGTAATTACAGCTCCAAGCACTGCAGGTGAAGGTCAAGATAGTGAGATGCTGCCACACCAAAGTCAAGGCAGCTCTGCCACAGAAAATCCACTCCCAGGTACAGACTCAAAAGAATTGACATCAGGGACTCAAACAGTTACTTGTACAGGAAGGTTCAGAGAAGCACCATTCACAACGGCCACAAGGTAGAAACAACCCAAATGCCCGTCAACAGATGGATGGAGAAACAGATGGTGGTCCATCCACACAATGGAATATTATTCAGCCGTAAAAAAGGAGGGAAGTTCTGATCGCTGCTACAATGTGAATGAACCTTGAAAACATCACGTTAAGTGAAAGAAGCCAGACACGAAAGTCCACATATGGTATAATTCCATTTCTGTAAATATGCAGAATTCATAGCAAATTCACAGAGACAGAAAGTAGATGAGTAGTTGCCTGGGGCTGGAGAGAGGGGAGAATAGGACTTGAGTACTTAACACGTACAGGGCTTTCTTTCTGGGCGATGGGAAAGTTTTGGAATTAGGTTGAGGTGGGTAGTTGCCCCATATTGTGAATGTCCTAATGCCACTGAATTGTTCCCTTTAAAATGGCTCATTTTGGGACTTCCCTGGTGGTCCAGTGGTTAAGACTCTGGTCTCCCAATACAGGGGTCCTGGGTTTGACCCCTGGCAGGGAACTAGATCCCACATGCCGCAACTAAGACCCGGCGCAGCAAATTAAATAAATAAATAAATATTAAAAAAAAAAAAAAAAAAAAAGGACATGACTACATAATAGGTACAGGGCTTTCTTTCTGGGTGACGAGAAAGTTTTGGAGCTACGTTGAGGTGAGTGGTTGCACCACACTGTGAATGTCCTCAATGCCATTGAATTGTTCCCTTTAAAATGGCTTATTTGGGGAATTCCCTGGCGGTCCAGTGGTTAGGACTCAGCACTTTCACTGCTGAGAGCTCGGGTCCCATCCCTAGTCAGGGAACTAAGACCCCACAAGCTGTGCAGTGAGGCCAAAAATAATAAAATAAAATAAAATAAAATGGCTAATTTTAACTATATTCAATATCTTGTAATAACCTATAATGGAAAAGAATCTGAAAAAGGATAGATTTATATATATGTATAACTGAATCACTTTGCTGTACACCTGAAACTAACACAACATTGTAAATCAGCTCTACTCAATTTAAAAATAAAGGGGAAAAAATAAAATGGCTAATTTTATGTTACGTGAATTTAATTTCAACTAAGAAATAAAGGAAAAGTCAAACAGGAACACATATTTTAGTCCTATTCACATAAAGCTTTTAAAAATACGGTAAACTATACATCGTGCAGAGATTCAAACATATTTGGTAAAATTAAAAGAAAACAGAAGGAATGTGGATGTATTAATTAACTTGACTGTGGTAATCCTTTCACAGCATATATGTATATCGAACCATCACGTGGTACACTTTAAATATATACAATTTACTTATCAATTACACTGCAATCAAAAATTATGGGAACTCCCTGGCGGTCCAGTGGTTAGGCCTCCGCACTTTCACTGCCAAGCACCTGTGTTCCATCCCTGGTTGGGGAACTAAGATCCCATAAGCCCCTCTGTGTGGCCAAAAATAAAGGTGGCCAGTGGTTAAGAATCCGCCTGCCAATGCAGGGGACACGGGTTCAAGCCCTGGTCCAGGAAGATCCCAAGTACCGCGGATCCCAAGCCCATGCGCCGCAACTAGCAAGCCTGCGCTCTAGAGCGCGCCAGCCACAATTACCGAGCCCACGTGCCACAACTACTGAAGCCCGCGCGCCTAGAGCCCGTGCGCCGCAGCAAAAGAAGCCCGCGCACCACAACGAAGAGCAGGCCCCTCTCGCCACAACTAGAGAAAGCCCGCACGCAGCAACGAAGACCCAAGGCAGCCAAAAATAAATAAATACATATTTTTAAAATAAATAAAGTAAAATGAAATCAATAAAAAAGAAGAATCACACAAAATTCAGTGTAGCGGCTTTCTCCGAGGCCAGAAGGGAGGGGCTAAACAACTCGGGTGCTCCAAAGGTGGGGATGATCTAGTTCTTACCCAGGGTGGTAAGTACCACCCGGGTCTTCCTTTTATGGCATTTCCTCGTAATTTGCATATGTTTGACAAATCATCTTCGCACAACATGAATAGTAAATAAAAAACAATCTGTCTAGGAGTAAATAGGGGCTCTCCCGTCTCTCCCATCTCCGCTGTATCCCCACGGCCCTCCCTTCCTACCTGTGCCATTTCCTCGGGAGATGCTGATGGTCAGGTTCTGGGGGGCGTCTAGGGCAGAGAGACGCAGTGAGGAAGAGAGTCAGACCTGACCCTTCCGCGCCCCCCACCCGCCAGGAGGCACAGAACTGGAAGCACAGCAGAACAGGGCCTACATCCTTCCTGCAGACCCTCTCCCAGTCCCTGGCCTCCGGGTCACCGGCGCCGATTCCCCGCCCCGAAAGCACCCCGCCATCCTGATTCCGCGCTCACAGGACACGTTGAGCATGACGGTCCTCTCCGTGCTCACGCCAGCCCTGCGGAAGGTCACCCGGCAGGTGAGGTTGGTGCCGTGGTCCTGCGGGCCGGGGGTGAGCACGATCTCCGAGGAGTTATAGGCCCCCTTCGAGTCCAGTCCCGGGGGGCAGAGGGCAGCCCCGGTCCAGGAGATGGTGGGCGGCGTGGCCTGGTCACAGGCCCCTGGCACGGAGCACGTCACGTGGCTGCTAGAGCCGGACTCCAGGGGCTCCTTGATGTAGATATCGGGGGTCCGTGTCAGCGCTGGAGAGGAGAGAGGGAGAAGCCAGACCGCAGAGGGGACCCCTGTGTGTGCTCAGCCCTGATGTGACCATGGGCCAGTGTCCCCCTTAGAGGTGGAGGGACAGGGTGGGTCCGTCCTTCCCCCCCATCCCTGTTATATGTTCCTGGGGACCCTTCCGTACCTGTCACGTTCACAATGAGCAGGTTATTTTTGTAACTATGTTTCACACCACCTCTCATCAGCTGAAAATAATAGTTTCCACTGTCCCCCTTCCGGGTGTCTGTGATGCCCAGGGAGCAGTTGTTCGCCCCAGGGTCCCCGAGCAGGTGGAATGGGATTTTTCTCTTCTTTTTTACTCCCCTGCCTGGGTTGTTTGTGGCCATGGGAAGGTGCATTTGGGATGGTCTATCCCCTTTCTGGAACCATTCACCATAAATGGGTGTAGAGTCGGTCTGACCAAGCGAGGGATAGGAGACGGTGCAGGGCACAAGGACACACAAACCCTCCTGCACTGTCACCGATTCCTGCACTTGCAGCTGGTACCACGGATCCTGCTGCAGGGACCCTGGGGGGACACAGAGACTCAGCTGCAGCTCCAGCCCCAGCCCTGTCCCGGCCGGGACCCTGCTCTCCCCACCATCCACGCACTCACCCTCCCGTAGCAGGGGCAGCAGCAGCAGCAACCTGTCCATGTCCAAGGGGCCAGGAGTTCCCAGGACTGTCCAGTTTCTGGACCTGCCGGTCTGTCCGGGAAGGAAGCCCCAACAGGAAGCTTCTGGGGGAGAAGGGAGCAGTGACCATCCACAGATGAGTAAACGAGGAAGCTCGGAACTGCAAATGTCTGGACGACATCTCTTCTGACTTTTCCTTTCATAGATGGAAGCACCAGAGCAGAGAGAGGATACAGGGCTGCTCTAAACCCTGACCCCAGGAAGCAGCCACACTGGGTCAGCCTAGGGGGAGGGCGGTGCCGGGAGCGGGGCTCTCCCAGGAAACAGGCGGGGAAAGGCTCCAGGTGAGGTGCCGGAGGCAGGGGTTCATTCATTCATTCATTTATTCGTTCATTCATTCATTTGCCAGGCAAACATCTACTGCACGCAGGGGCTGCGGGCAGAGGAGGGTATGACCTCACAAATCCTGCCTCACTTTTGCATGACCCCAAACCCAGTGCCCCCACCCAGGCTCTCCAAAGTCTACTCACCTCCCTGCCTGTCTTGGGGCCGTGTATGTGTCCACACAAGGATCCCAGCTCCACAGTACGAAGTGGAATATTTGCACATGGCTTCATGCTCAGAAGGGCTTCCCGCCTGGGGTTTGATGCTCTGAGGTTGCCATCTTGAAATTCCCAATAATTTTATCTTTGAGTTTGCATTTTGTAAGTGAAGTCTAATGGATAAGGAGCGCATGCCAGGGGGATTGGAACTTTGAATCACACGCGGTCAATCCGGGGACGTCCTGGATCTGGAGACAGCTCTGGGCCCACCCTCGCACCCCCATCCCACCACTTGGGCACAGAGAGGGTTTGGAGTGTGCTGAGTTCAGCGGGTGCCTGTGCGGGTCTGCACTGCCCATCCCCCCAGTCAAGCCCAAGGGATTGGACGTTAACTAGCAAATATAAACACTATGAACAGGGACTTCCCTGGTGGCCCAGTGGTTAAGAATCCATCTTGCGATGCAGGGGATGCCAGTTCGATCCCTGGTTGGGGACCTAAGATCCCATGTGCCATGGGGCAACTAAGCTCATGCACTGCAACTAGAGAGCCCAAGTGCTGCAACTACAGAACCCACGCGCTCTGGAGCCCACGCCACAACGAGAGAGAAACCCGTGCACTGCAACGAAAGATCCCGCATGCCACAACTAAGACCCATGGCAGCCAAAAATAAATAAAATAAATAAATATTAAATCTATTTTAAAAATGGTTAAAATGGTAAATTTTATGTTATGGGTATTTTAAGACAATTTTTTTTTAATGTTAAGAGAAAAACAAAACATGACTGATTGAGAGAGAGTCCATAGAGAAAAGGAAAAAGGTTTTTCCTGCTTTTTTTTTTTTTGTGAAAGGGACCTCACATTTTCATTTTGCTCAGGGGCCTGCAAAAGATTTAGGCAGCACTTGTAAGAAGCTTCCAGACTCAGACCTGCTCTAAGAGGAGAGCGTGGTCAGCACTGCCCAGGGGCTGGGTTGATGAGCATCTGTCCCTCTCCTGAGGGTCGGAACAACATAGGAATGAAGGACACATATCTGGGACCACTCTGCTGGCATCCAACCCAACTTCTCAAGTGACTGGCAATACATGTAGTAAAGAATTAACCTCATCCAAAGAGAGGCGTGGGCTTTACCCAGCTCCTGGGAGGAATCCTAAGCCCTTGGCATGTATGTCTCGGTGTCCACATTTCCTTTTTATTTTTTAATAACAATACCGGTCATATCGGATTAGGCCCACCCTAATGACCGCACCTTAACTTGATCACCTGCAAAGACCCTGTTTCCAAATAAGGTCACATTCACAGGTACTGGGGGTTAGGTCTTGAACATCTTTTTGGGTGGGACACAATTCAACCCATAACAGACCCCCAGTAAAAACGCTGGACACCAAAGTTTATACTCCACAAATGCTGTCACACATCGTTGCTGGGTGTATTGGTCAGCTTTGAGTTGCCATAAGATACCACACACTGGGCAGCTTAAACAACAGAAATGTATCAACACTTTCTCACAGTTCTGGAGGCCAGAAGTCCAAGATCCAGGTGTTAGCCTGGTGAGGGTTTGCTTCCTGGCTGGCAGATAGCTGCCTTCTCACTGTGCCCTCACATGTCAGAGACAGAGAGAGGGAGAGAGATGTCTCTGTGTCTCTTCCTATAAGGGCACTAATCCTATTGCATAAGGGTCCCACCCTTATGACCTCATTTAACCTTAATTACCCCCTTGTTTCTATCTCCAAATACAGTCACATTGAGGGGGTTAGGGCTTCAACATATGAATTGGGGATGGGGGGATTCAGTCCATAGCACTCGGACAATTAAGCACAGTGGAGTCCACATGACTCCACTGGGAGAGACCACCGGAACCTTGTGCCTGGCCTCCGCTGGACCCTGTCCTGTGAACTTCGCAGATTTTATTTTATTCTATTCTAATTTTTTTTCTTTGGCCGTGCAGAGTGACTTACAGTATCTTTGTTCCTCCACCAGGGATGGAAGCCAGGGCCCCAGCAGTGAGAATGCGGAGTCCTAACCACTGGATGGCCGGGGAATTCCTTCCTTGGCAAATTGTAATCTGTGTCCTTTTGTTGTAACAAATCCTGAGTATAACAGTTTCTCTGAATTCTTTTAAGTCCTTCCAATGAATCATCAAACTTCAGGGTGGTCTTGGGGATTCCCAGAACAGTCTGTTTCCCTCCTCCTCCTCAGACTGTGGTGCAGAAAGCCACCGTTTACCTAAGTGGGGGCGACGGTGCCCACCTGCCTGGGTCTGCCCATCCTGGGGACCAGCGCTCGCGTTTTCGAGCGCCCTCTGGTGGACCTGTAGTGGTCAGCTCTCAAAGAGCCCAGAACTTGTCTAGGATGGGAAGTTGCTGGCTGGGAAAATTGTTGAGTTTATCACAAATACATAAGAAGGAAATGGAATAAATGCAGCCTGAAAAGCACAGAAAATGCACAGAGGAAACCCTCAGTTCCTCTTCGTCTACAACCAGTTTCTCACTTTACTTCCCTATCGCTTGTCTCTTAAACAGGAGGCAACATCACTTTTTTTTTTTAATATTCATTTTTTTTATTTGGCTGAGTGGGGTCTTAGTTGTGGTACGCGGATTTTCGATCTTTGTTGCGACATGTTTTTTTGTTTTGTTTTTAATTGAGGCACGCAGGATCTTCAATCTTCCTTGCGACGTTCTTGTTTTGTTTTGGTTTGGTTTTAGTTGCAAGATGCGAACTCCTAGTTGAAGCATATGGGATCCAGCTTCCTGACCAGGGATCAAACCAGGGCCCCCTGCACTGGGAGTACAGAGTCTTAGCCACTGGACCACCATGGAAGTCCCTGGAGGCAACATCACTTTTAACTAAATGGTCCCAGCTGGTACCAAGGTGCCCATCCCTCCTCTTGCACTTGCTACACTGTCGTCTACAGCCCGGCCTGGACCCCACGGAGAGCAGGCCTTGCGGGCAGGCTCTGAGGAGAAAGGAAACCAGGATCTCTGTCTCTGACTCAATCACTCTGCCTTGTCTTGGTTTGAGTCAGTTTTCCAATTTCTACAGAATTGCAAAACAGGCCCCGAAAACTTCCCTTCTTTCAAATCAAGTAGACTATTCATTGCTTTTCCAATAGATGGCCAGAAAGAGTGGGGGTGGGGAGGTCAGCTACTGCTAGGATTTCTGGGAAACTCAGGACCACATGGCATGGACACTTAGTGCTGAGGACCAAGCTGTCACCCAGAGTCAGAAGCAGTATTCTTTCTCTTCCATGGGAGATGTCATTGCCTCTGGGCCTCCTTGGCCTGAAAACTAGGTCCAGTTGCCTGGATATAGAGCTCCACCATTCCCGGGAGAAATAGTAGGGTGGAGAGTTTACCCCAGGACTCACAATGAATAACACCCAAATGTGTGTGCGTCAGCTTGTGTATGTCTGCAAATGTGTTTGGAGCCCAGAGCAGGCCATCTCAAAATGTCCTTCAATGGCATATTGATTATTTTGCATTATAGTTACTCAAGAAACTGCCAGGACTTCCCTGGTGGTGCAGTGGTTAAGAATCTGCCTGCCAATGCAGGGGACACCGGTTCGAGCCCTGTTCTGGGAAAAATGGAGCAACTAAGCCTGTGCACCACAACTACTGAGCCTGCGCTGTAGAGCCCGCGAGCCATAACTACTGAGCCCGCACACCACAACGACTGAAGCCCACGCACCTAGAGCCTGTGCTCCACAACAAGAGAAGCCTCCGCAGTGAGAAGCCCGTGCACCACAACGAAGAGTAGCCCCCCACTCCCCACAACTAGAGAAAGCCCATGCGCAGCAACAAAGACCCAGCGCAGCCATAAATAAATAAAAATAAATAAATAAATAAATAGAAACGGCCAACTCAAGAGGATACTCTGACCCTCCTTTCTGCTTCCCTGAGAGCAGGACATAAATCTCTCAAGTGAAAGGTGCCCTCCCCACATCTGGAGGGAGGACACCCTTATCAGCAGACCTAGGGAATTAGAGGCAAGAAGCCTGTGTAAACAAACCTCGTTATTTCTTTAATTTACTACCCCAAGCCTAAATTCTCACTAGATTCTTCACTAATTGGGCACCCAAAGCCCAAGTCTCTTTGTCCTGTCAATTCCTCACAGATTTGTTTCTTTGCCTAAAAAGCATAAAACCTGCCCAATTTGGCCACTTCTTAGGTCCCATTCCAGGTGGAGGGTTCCAGAAGACTGTATGTGAACCGCTGAATAATGGCCCCCAGAGACATCCCCGTCTTAATCCCTGGAACGTGTGAATACGTGTTACCTTGCAGGGCAAAAGACCTTTGCAGGTGTGATCACATTAAAGCTCTTAGGGTGGAGAGATTCTCCAGGTGGAGCCTCGTTGTGATCACAAGTTTATAAGACAGAGGCAGAGGGAGCATGGACCACAGCAGAGGTAAATGATAGATGATGATCAAAGAGATTGTAGTGATGCCATCGCCGGAACCTGCAAGAAGCAAGAAAGAGATTCA